TGAAACATGAAACTGAGCACTCCATCAACGGGCTGTGCAGAACAACTCAGAGACCTAATGAAGAACGTAGTTTGCTCTGGCTATAAAAGAAGTAGTGATTAAGATACTCTGAATGCTACAGGAAAGCAAATTATAAGCATGATGCTGTAATGTTATTACTATAATATTATTATTTTACATTCTAAAACAAAACTCTCTGAGAACATTCACCCAACCTTCCAGTTTTCTACATCAGTTAAAATGTTTACTTTTATGGGGGCAGAGTTTCCTCCTTTCTTTCATTCTTTTCCTTAAATAAACACACTGCTCTTTGGCCATAGAATACTCTTTTCCTTCCCTCTCCCCTATTTTAAAGTCTATTCCATCTATTGTTTGGACGAAGGGCACAGAAGATAGATGGTATGAATAATAAAATCACAAATATTTTTTCCATCTTGTGTTCTGACCTTTTTGGAAGTAATTTTCTCTGTAAACCCACAGTAAAGTCTGTGATCTGTGTTCTTTTTTATTTTCCCCCAGAACTGCTTCTCTGTGTATTTAATAACAGTTATTACTGTTATACTGTAGCTTACTTCACTAAGACCAGAGTTTTCAGACTCAGGTGCCTACAGTTATGGTGGCTTTTAGATAGCAAAATCATAGAATCATAGAATAGTTAGGTTTGGAAAGGACCTTAAGATCATCTAGTTCCAACCCCCCTGCCATGAGCAGGGACACCACACACTAAACTATGTCTCCCAAGGCTCTGTCCAGCCTGGCCTTGAACACCTCCAGGGTTGGAGCATTCACAACTTCCTGGGGCAACCCATTCCAGTGCCTCACCACCCTCACCGTGAAGAACTTCTTCCTTAGATCTAACCTAAAGTTCCCCTGTTTAAGTTTAAACCCATTACCCCTTGTCCTACCACTACAGTCCCTAATGAAGAGTCCCTCCCCAGCATCCTTATAGGCCCCCTTCAGATATTGGAAGGCTGCTCTGAGGTCTCCACGCAGCTTCTCTTCTCCAGGCTGAACAGCCCCAACTTTTTCAGCCTGTCTTCATACGGGAGGTGCTCCAGCCCCTGATCATCCTCATGGCCTCCTCTGGACTTGCTCCAGCAGCTCCATGTCCTTTTCATGTTGAGGACACCAGAACTGGACACAATACTCCAAGTGAGGTGTCACAAGAGCAGAGTAGAGGGGCAGGATCACCTCCTTTGACCTGCTGGTCATGCTTCTTTTGATGCAGCCCAGGATACGGTTGATTTCTGGGCTGCAAGCGCACACTGAAGCTGGCTCATGTCGAGTTTCTCGTCAATCACCACCCCCAAGTTGTTCTCTGCAGGGCTGCTTTGAATCTCTTCTCCGCCCAAAAAATCAGACACCTCTCAAAAAAGGACTGACTTTTTAATGGAACTTCACTTCCTTCTGTAATCCACAGCATTGCTGGGGCTGTTTGCTATCTTGGAAAAACATGACACCTACATTTAGGTGCTTTGATATGGATACTGTGCCTTCACTTCAAACAGATTTCATAGTTGGAGTTTAAATATCTGCCAGTTTAGTGCAAAATAATATGTAAGAACAGAGTTCTACTTTAATACAAATGTAAAGGCAGGTAAACACCTGCAATTTGTTCAAAACTGTCCGTTTGTTAATACTGGCAGTGCAAATATACTGTAACTGCGATTGAAAAACTTATGCTTTCAGTGGGTTTATTGTCAGAGAGTATTAAACATATACACATGCTTCACAAAAATTATATCACTGTTGACATGGTGACAAGACCTGTGGGACAAGAAGTGAAAGAACAATGTCCTCACAAAGGGAAATTATACAGACAGGATTGATTTTTCCAGACTCCTATATAAAATCAGCCTGGTCTTTATGTGATCAATGACTTCAGTGGTGCAAAACAAATTCCTTACACAGCTTGTGCTGGTTGAAATACCTGGTCTTGAGAAAGAAAACAACAGATCTTTAATGACCAGAATGTCTTCAGAATTTGTGTTGTTGCTTTTACCTTGCAAGAAAAACTGCTGGCTTGGTTTGTAAAAATGGTTAAAAAGTATTTTCCTAAGAGATTGCTTTCACTGCTTCCAGTTTATCTACTGCAATACCTGATACAGTGGTGAGCATGACTAAGAGTGTGAACTCCAAAAGGTAGTGAAAACCTCCTCAGGACACATAGTTCACTGTCAAGACAGATCGTTTAAGTGATTCCCAGCTACCTTAGGAGGGATTCAGTCCTAGCCTTTACCCCTCACTTTTGCCACGTGATGAAAGAGCACTTTGGCTTGACCAGTTACCTATTTTGTGTGTATTTTTATGGTAAATAAGTAGCCTTTCATTGGGAAGTCACAAGCAATCTTGGAACAAACAGGCTAAACACATCGGCTTCATTAGAAAAAGCCCTCTTCAACCATGCCAAACTTGAAATCAACTGTATGTGGCCGAGGTCTAAATAAAGGATTGAAATCTTGAGGGTGAGGAGAGCTTCTGTAAATGGCACTTAGAAGTAAGTCAACTACCATATATGAGAACAGTAGTTAGAGAGGTTATAAGTAGGATGTGACTACAGCCTTTTTAGGAAAGAGGTGCCACTCCTGCATATCTTACTCTGTAATATTTAGAAATTCCCTGCATACTGAATGAAAGCAGAAATCCAGCCTCTAAGTCGCCAATAGAACTTCCTGCAATTTCCTGTGTTTTCTCTAGAGGTCTCCTAGCTAATGCCAGTGCCCATGCCTTGGATTCTAGTACTGGTTGGGAGACATAACTGAAAAAGGTTATAGAATATAGTTGGTTGAAGACTTTGCTTTTTGTAGCTGTGCAAACCTTTCTAGGTTTCTGAGTGCAAATAGGAAAAACAAAAAGTAAAGCTTCTGAAAATGACTTTGTAAAACACAAACCCCCCTTCCTCTTGCAAAACCACCATGTTTTCTATTTTTTTTTTTACTGTATAAAAAACAGTGGTTTTGTCCTTTCTCCAGTGCCATAATTACCATGGAAACAGACCTGCAAATTAAAACAGAAATAACATGGTTTATGCTCACAATAAAATAAAATATACCCTAGAGTTTAACTCAACCAACACAAATGGCCTGAATTATCTGCATACATTTGATGGCTGAAAATATAATGTTGGTTTTCTGAGAAAATCTTGAGCTAGTTCCTGTTTGGGAACAGAGAATTGACAGTAAAGAGAAGGCCCAGTCTTAAAGAGGCTGGCTGGCTGCTGCGTATGTACACTACACGTGGAATTGGTGTATGTATTTATTCTGCTAAATAGCTTTTCATTTAGCAGATCAATCACACGTTTCAGATCCTGAAAACCAAGCTCAATAGATCTGTTTCATCAGATTAATTAGAATTGTAATTTAAGCTGTGTTCAGAAGTGTGGTTGAGATTTCTGTTAGGAAGGTTTCCTCTCCCAGTTTTCTCTCTCCCAGTTTTGGTTTAACATTGGTCTTCAATAGCTAAGTAATCATAATCCTGCAAATTACCTGTATAGTTCTATTGCCTCATACGCTTAAATTCTCATGAGTGAAATTTCACAGTTCCTCATGTACAGAAAGTTTAATTCCTGAGTAAATCTGACTTTCTCTCTATTAAGGAGACTGGAAGCATGAGATAAAAATGCACTGACCAATTTTTGTTGAAATTATGAGACCTGCAGGTACAGAATTCTCTGAAACTTGGTTTGTAAATATGTGTTTCAGCAAAACCTTCAACATCAGGTGGAATCACCATCCCTGTGTGTGTTCAGAAATGTGCAGACAAGGCCCTCAGTGACATGGTTCAGTGGTGGACTTGGCAGTCATGGCGTAAAGGTTGGGCTTATCGATCTTAAAGGTTTTTTCCAAGCTTGTTGATTCTATGATTCTATCATTTGAAACTTAGGAAAACAGCCATACCTGCCTTTCCACATATGTATGTGTATTATGTATATGCGTATATATGTCCATGCACACACAGAATACCTGTATGTGTATTTGAATACACATGAATACTACCTACAACAATAAATTATATATTTAACAGAATATTTCAAAGGAAGTTTTAAGCAAGAATGTAGCTACATGTAATGGGATGCCTTTCTATTTTGCAGAAAGAAAATAACTTTAAATTTTGCCAGTGACTAAATGTATGAGTTTGAAATAACCTGTGCAATTTTGGCTTCAACTGTTTCACATTGGTGTTACCATGCAAGTTCTTTTTACAAATGATCAACATATTTAGCTTCCTATTAATTTTTACTCTCCTGTACTGTGAAATATTGTTTAGCAGGGGATTTAATTTTCTTTTTATTACTACAATGCCATGATTATAACATGTTTGAAGGTAATTCAGTGCTTCACTGAATACAGGGAAATAAGAAGGAAGCCATCACTACAATGTTTTCTATAGTCTGAGTATTCTTGTCTCATTATTTTTCCCTAACAAGGAGTTTATTGTAGTAATGATTTATTCAGGGCACCTGAAATTATGTTTCATTTAAAAATCAGGTCACCCAAGAACACCAAAACTAGACAAGGCATTAAAATACATTTAATGAAACTTCCAACAAATGAAACTGGTGGGACAGAGAACTTTTCAGCAGGGGTTGTAGTTCAAACTGCTTATTAAGATAACCTCCTGCAGAGCAGTTTACCTCTCATGTTGGTTTTTATATTCTTCCCTTGTCTTGTTTTTATTTGGCAGTAAAAATACGTTCTGTCCTGTTTTGCAAAACCTGGAACTAAGAATAACTTATGCAGCACATAAAAAGTTTTTAAAGTTGTTTCATGTGAAAAACATTTAAAAAATGATCAAACATGTCCAGGACTTCCTTGATTGCCAAATTCAGTCAGCCACCTAGAAAAGGTAGGGAATTCTTACAAATATACTAACTAGGTCTGATATTTATGTTGGTGGGAGTTCTGAATGTGCAGAAACAGAAGAAAAGCTTAACAGTTCAGCCCAATTAGGTGCTTCCAAAAAACCTACAGGAAGCTTAATGCATGTGTATCATCTAAAAATTACCTCTCTTCCTTTTCTTTCATCTCTGAGTGGGTTTGGTAGCTGTGCTCTGCTTCTCCATGTGCATCCATGAGACCCAGTAGCGATGTTTCTGTGTCATTTTGTAGTTTAACAAGACTACTTTGTAATCTTACATTCTCATGTTCTCGTTTGTGAATGGATGACGTGAAATTTCCATGTTGTTTGTTGTCAGGTAAATCTATACTCTGTGCAAGGAGATAAAGCCATCATTATATAGTTATCTTTTCCACAATAAATGATTGTTAGTATTTTTAGCAAGCGAACACAAAACAATGTTCTATGCTAAAGAAAGACCTAGCTACTATATATAATCATGCAGCACTTAGAGCAAACCAAGAGAATTGCCTCCAGAAAAAAATCCATGTAGATAAATGGAAAAGAAGGAATAACAGCCTCTATAACACAATAAAGCAAATTAAAATTTCTCAACAAACATGCATTCAAGGTATTATTATTGTAAATTCATCACTTGCTTTGTAAAACTTACGACATAAAAGCAACCATAACAGCTATGGCTGCAGACTGTATTGCTCCCTCCAGTAACAATTCCACTAGAAATAATAAGAAAAAATTATGGAAGTTCATTACTTTCCTAGATACAGGGTATGTCTACAGGCACAATTTAATATCTGTGTCAAGATACAGTCACCTTCAGCTGCAGAAGCAGTAAAGTAAAGCCACATTAGCACTCTCTTGTGTTACTAAACCCTGCTTCTCAGCTGGGTTAGTCCACACGGTATACGAGTCATCATACTGATAGTACAAGCAACATGTGCTCTGCAGCTACGGCCTAAAGAGACCCATCCACTAGGATATCAAGAGGGGAAGACGGAGATCAGCTCTGGAAGTTGACTAGCCAGGATATTCCATTCCTTTTTTGTGCTGTCACTTTTTCTATGAAGCCTATGCTGCACACCAAAGCTAGCTAATTTGGAACTACTTCACTGCAGAATACTGCATTGCATTGTGTAAATATATTTGCAATAGCAGTACATTGTCATTAACAGAAAAATCTCAAACGATTTCAGAGAACCATACAACAGTTTGGGGTGGAAGGAACCTTAAAGATCGTCTATTCCAACATCTCTGCCACAGGCAGGGACACCTTCCACTAGAGCAGGTTGCTCGGTTTAAAATACTCATATCTTTCTTAAACTCCCACCCACCCTGCCGCCGAACCCTGCCAGGGATGGGGCAGCTACAGCTTCTCTGGGCAACCTCTGGTAGTGCCTCACCATCTTCATAAAAAACCCAACCAAACAAAGCCCTTTGTTATAAGCAGTCTAAATCTCCCCTCTTTCAGCTTAAGACCCTCGCCCCTTCTCCTCTTACTATGGGTCCTGGTATAAAGTCTTTCTCTGTCTTTCTTATAAGTCCTGATTAAGTACTGAAAGGTTGCTCTCCATAGGAGAGGTGCTCCAGTCCTCTGATCATTTTTGTGGCCTCCTCTGGACTTGCTCCAACAGGTCCATGACCAGATTATACACAAAAGCCTAAAACCCAAAACATTCTAGTAAGTTTTGCTTTCATATATTTCTAGATTTACCTTATTCTTTTGGAAGTTGGTAACTTATGAGTATTAAGGATTTGGTTCTTCGTATACTTACTGCTAGCACAATCAAAAGCTTGTCTATTCCTTGCACTATTTGGTCTAATGTCATCTCTTCCTGTAACTCTTGCCTCGTTTAGCTAGTTTTAGGGGAAATTTATAGAATCATAGAATCATAGAATAGTTAGGGTTGGAAAGTACCTTAAGAGCATCTAGTTCCAACCCCCCTGCCATGAGCAGGGACACCACACACTAAACTATGTCACCCAAGGCTCTGTCCAACCTGGCCTTGAACACCGCCAGAGTTGAAGTATTCACAACTTCCTTGGGCAACCCATTCCAGTGCCTCACCACCCTCACTGTAAAGAACTTCTTCCTTATATCTAACCTAAAGTTCCCCTGTTTAAGTTTAAACTCATTACCCCTTGTCCTATCACTAGAGTCCCTAATGAAGAGTCCCTCCCCAGCATCCTTGTAGGCCCCCTTCAGATATTGGAAGGCTGCTGTAAGGTCTCCACGCAGCTTCTCTTCTCCAGGCTGAACAGCCCCAACTTTTTCAGCCTGTCTTCATACAGGAGGTGCTCCAGTCCTCTTATCATCCTCGTGGCCTCCTCTGGACTTGCTCCAGCAGCTCCATGTCCTTTTTATGTTGAGGACACCAGAACTGGACACGATACTCCAAGTGAGTATTTATGAGCCAAGCTGGCATGGAAGTGCCAGAAAGTAAAAGGAAATTTAGTATTTACTGCAAGGATGGCAGGCAGGGGCTCAGACATGTCTCCCAGTTGCAGAGAAGTGGCAGAACAGAGGAAGGGCAGCACTAAGTCACACTACCACTAATAGCTCTAGAATCAGCAGTACAGTTGTAATGGCATGAGCCCCAAAACTGAGCTGGCACAGCTGCATTGTTTTTGAAATCTAAACAACTAACCCTGCGTGGTGATGAATACACCACACTGACTTAAGGTAGCACTAGTTTGAGGAGTCTGTGTAGTGCTCTGCTGTACTATGCAAACTCATCTGTAAAAATGTCTCCAGTTCCTGCAATCTTAGCATCAAACACCTCACAATCTTTAATGTTTAGATTTTCACAATACACTAGTAAAGTAGGAAAGACTTATTAAGTCCACAAATGCATTGATATGTGTAGTGACCTTGGTATATCTATTAATTGGATTTTACTGTCAAAACTTAGCAGTCGTGGTATCTACAAGGATTCTTGTCAGATAGCTCTGCTCAATCTTCATGAAGAATACCACTGTAGAGAAGAGCTAGACATGCATACACACATCCATCTATGTTTCCACGATAATGTCATATATACACATACATATATCCATAATAATGCATATGTATGTATAGGAAACACATCACTGATAGACATATATGCTATTTTAAGGGTGTGGAAAAATGTGGCATTCTTTCATACATTTGTCAATCTACAGTAAAGCAGTTAACAGGCTACAAATCCCCCAAGATGTATTTACAGCAGGATTTACAAGCAACATTTCAGTGTTTTTTCCATTGATAGATAAAATAACTGCAGATGTTCTGTAAGCAGGAGACGTTTTGAAGCTTTGTGTGGAAGGCAGCATATATAATATTTGTTATACTCACTGAAACTACAGTACTACATGATATTATGGCACACGTTTTATGAATTAAGCTTTAAACATCCCCTGTTTGAAGAAAAATAAATGCTAAACTCTGAAAATAAGCTGGGTGGGGGCAAAATATGTCTGTTTTTTACACTGTTATTTAAATATCATATGTACAAAGGGGTTAAATAGTACACACGGGACATACCTTTGGCTCTGTGAGAATGATGACTGTTTAAAAATGAGTATTTTCTGAAATAAGTGATGTAACTTACAAAAAATAGGCTCTAAGAAACTGTTTATTGTCTAGACAGTTACTGAAAAATTTAGCTTATTTCTAGTTTACTACAGTTAAGGTATTCAGGCTGAGTTAATCCGCTTGGTGTTGATTATGTCTCGCACCTGATTTCTATTAATCTCTTTTACTCAAGCTAGAAATCTCTAAATCTGCCATCATCTCAATCTACATTTACACTAAATATAAGTAACTGTTCTGCATATTGCATAGATTAAAGAAAAATACCATGCAAAAAATACCTGGTTTTCCACTATCTCCTTTAGATGTGTGTTTTCAGAGCTCCTGACTTTGTATCGGGAATCCAACAACTAGGAAAAGATTAAATTGTCAGTTAAATGCAAGAATATTGCTGTTGACTTTAAATAACACTGAGTATAGATATATATGGTTCATTTGACAAAACATACATAAAGAATTACGAAACTAACTAGAATATGTTTTAAATATGGCAATCCTAAAGCGGAAAGAACTCTTAAACCATCTATGAAGGGCACACAGGTGCAATGCTTCTGATTTTATTTACCTTTTTTCACCTAGGAAAAATATTTTCACTTAGGAAAATATGGGAGTTCACTTGCAGTTATGATATACAAAGAGGGATTTTGCAGGCCGCTGAAACTGGATGAAATCTTAGTCATGAAGTCTAGGAGTGACATCCACTCTTTTAGTGATATAGGCTGGTAAAGCCACACAGTAGATGTCTCTCATTTTCCGAAACACTAACTTTCCTATTGTCAAAAATGAAGTATTACATGAATTACAACTTTCAATATGCAGTGACCTTCTCAGAAAACCAAGAGATCCCCAGAAACCTCTAAATATGAAGGCTGTTTTGGTTTACAAAACTAAGTAATGAAGGTAATATACTTGTTTTTAAAACTGAAAATTGACATTAAAACTCTGGTATCTTACAGTTTTCAGCTTTAAAATTACCAGAATTTTCTAAGCAGATTTGTAACATTCTTCAAAAAGCACTTAAAAACCCCTGAAAAGATGTTCTAGATACTCTAATACAGTTCTAATGATGATGTGCATATAATAACAACAAATTGGATGTTTTCAAGATCTTTTGCATGCTAAAATGGTAACTACAGTCAATGGTCAGAATGAATTGCAATTTAGATGTACAGTTGACATTTGCCAGTGCTTTCTTGTTCTAGTATCAATTTGGCTGCTCTTGTAATACTTCACAGATATTACAGCACTGCTGATGAAAACTACAGCAAGAAATGTAATGTCTTTTTTCACAGATAATGTATGTCATTACAAATAGTGTGGAGTAAAATGATCTACACTGGTTTTGCCTACTTGCATACCTGTTGTTTTGCTAACAATTTGTCTTTTATCTCCAACTCCATTTTTAACTGTCTTTCCAGAAGACTAGCTTTCTCCATGATAGTTGCTATAGTGATCTCCCTCTGATGAAGCTCTTCTGTCAGGTCAGAGATTTCTGTCTTCATTCTTTCCTGCTCAGAGCAATGGGACTGCTCCTCTCGATAAACGTGGTTTCTTATCTGGAGCAAATATGTTTCAAAAAGAAAAAATGGTGTGCAGTAAACATGATTGCATCACTTGCTACCTATCAGTGACTTTTTTGCTCTTGCTTCCAAGGTATCAACTCTACTAACTGAACCAGAGGTTTCTGAGATTGCACAATAAAATGTCTTCATGAATCAGTGCATATAGCTTTATTTATTTTTATGGGGTTTTCTTTTTTCACCCCTTCTGTTGTGCTTTCATTTACCCATTCAGTATTAGAAATGAACAAAATACAAGACATTTAAATTGACATTTAAAAAGAATGTACTTCAAATAATGCTAAAAATTGGAATTTATGGCAGAGACTATCCAAGGACATATCCATTCAATAAACCGAAGTATGATTTAGTTATATTGTTCCTAAGTTAATTTAGGTTTGAAATAAGTTTAATGCAGCCTAAGTTAACTTAGGGCAATATAAATAAATCAATCTAGAGACTCTTTGATGGGAAACTACGTTAGAAATAAAGAGCATATACAGCAAATCACTTTATGAGAATTTTTCCTACTATTACATATATATTTTAAGGTCAAACTTTCTGCACTGTCTCCTGTGTAGAGTTCTCCAAAGAATCAGCACACAGATTGTTTTCATAATCTATCTCCTATAACCAACAATTCAGCACTGATAGATTTTTTATTATATAAGAAACAAAACTACAAAAACCAGCAAACAACCTGAGAAGCCTATTTTAATAATTCCTTGCAGGACTGTACACAATCAGTAACAGATGGCATTTCATTTTTATTTATGCAAACTACACAGAAATACTAGAATTGTAAACAAATAGATGGAGATGCAAAAAACCCTAAGAGCTAGATCAGGACTATCATGCCCAAATTGCTGCATCCGAGTCAGCTGCATGCAATTAGAGATATTCCTGCTTCAATTGCTACTCAGCAAAACCACAACACGCCTGAAGAGGAGTTCTGAGCATCCTCTACTCCCAAAGTGTTTTGGCCTGCCAAGCCATATGCCATTCCACAGTGCTATGCCACCACTGCTTGCACACAGCGCTTGAGAAATGTGCAATGCAATGTGATGTGTAGTTCAAACTAAAGAGCACTGCCCTAGATTGTGCAGCAGGTGACTGATTAAGCTTGGCCTTGTGTAGCTACCTGTCCTAGTGATTTGTGTCAGTTGATCTGTTGGCATATCTTACATCTGAAACCACCCACAAACTACTACTTACCTCCTACAGCCTATTAATTACTCATAGCCTTAGAGGGTTTATTACTTCCACAGTATTACCCAATTCACAGTGATGCTCAGGCATGGTCTCTTCCATTACTTCAGTGAAGTAGCTAGCTCTGCACGGAATCAGAATGTCAATTTTACAGCTATACACCTACCTCCAGAAATGCAACCATATATGAAAACTTTCTCATGTATGAAAACTTCATGCTCTCCTAAAACCACCATTTACCCTCCTGCTCTCTTCTACCTATGCACATGCCCAAGGTCAGCACTTTGCTCTCTTCTAAAAATACTATATTGCATATATATTAAGATCTGGAAATACATAATAATATGAAATACCTCATTTAGCTCCTCTTGTGGGCGTTCTTGACTTTGTGCCAATAGTAATAACTTGGTGTTTTTATTTTCTAGCTGCTCAGTAAGTTGTACACAAGATGGTCGATGCCTTTAAATAAGAAATAAACAAAACATGAAACGAGCAGAACATTCAATAACCTTAGAGCATCCTCTCCACAGTGTAAAACTGTGGAAAACCAGTGTGCTGATGAAAAAAAAAACCAACAATCAAAGATTTGGCCTAAACCAGGTTGGATCTTGTGAGATTTCTAGAGATTAAGGACAATGCGAGTGCATGGAGAAAGAATTCTGAAATCTTTTGCAGACTGGTATTTCATATAATCTCAAATAGCTGCAGTAGATTAGATAAACCATAAAAAGAATGTTTTACTCAAAGGAGTTTAGGGAGAATCTTAATCACACTAATTCCAAAGTGTTTTAATGCCGAGAAAATGGAAAAGGCTTCTAAACATATAAACAGAAATAGATTAAATGCATTGATTTGTAAAGATCTAGGCAGAATTAAAAAGCCTTTTTACAGAGCCTGCATCTATTGGTGCAATCTTGTTGTATATAATTGCCAATGAAAATGTTTATTCTAATATTGTTTAGAATCTGACATTTGAATCCAGAGTATCTTTTAAAACAGCTTTAATTTATATGAAATGTAAAAAAAAGTTATTAGCTCAGAAGTACTTATTCATGTAAATATTGTCTTCAACATAGATTTCCTGCATATCTTTATAGTCTCTGATCTTCTGTAGTTCTGTATGCATTTGTTGGCATTCCAGTTGTATCCTTCTCCAGAGAGCATCCCGTGACTGCAGCTCATTCCTCATTTCTGAAAAGCCTGCCTCCATGTTCTAAAGAAACAAGCAAATACATAAATAGTTAAATAAATTTAGACAGCTCAAAAAGGTGTGTGTTAACACATCATATTCAATACCTATATCATTTCACTGAAAGGACATACATGGTTTTGAGTTTCATTTCTGAAACAGCCACTGCTTTCATGTCAGTTCCCCTCTCCAGAAATGTCATCTAAAATCAGATGCTGAATATTCCTTAGCTTTTGCAATGTTCCAATGCATCTGCTTCTGAAAGCATCATAGGAAACATCATTCAGAAGTTCTTTATTGTACTTAATGCATCTAAAATACATAGTTTGCTTGTTTCAGCAGGTTTTCCACCCTGGAACATGCTTCACATGCAAAAATCAGTGCCATAAGTAACTTCCATTTTCTGTTTTCCTAACAGCATTTCCAAATTTATAAGCTTGAAAACTACAAGGCCATAGAAAGGCAAGATTAGGTGCATGTCTTCACTAAACATGGCCTGGAAACTTGGAGCAGATACATCTAGACATCTATACTTCGGCAAAGTGTGTGCTCTGTCATCTTCAAAACTAGTTCTATCTGCATGGAGTCAATTGCTTATTTAAATGAACATCACAAAATTATCAAACTATCACAAGAAGATTCTTCTTAGGGACTCCACAAATCTTACCTCTATTTTGCCTCATAAAATCTGAATTTCCCCCAAAATCAGAATTCCCCCCAAATATACTGAGAACATGCTGAAGATAAGAACTTGGAAATATACCCACAAACAACAAAAGTAGCAATGATAATCAGATTCATGCAATAATAATATCCAGAGATTATTTATTTCCTGTCATCCAAGATCCAAAAGCATCTTCCAGATTAAAACACACAAAAAAAGGATTTTCCAAGGATGTTGATCCTTTGCTTTTAAATCCATTCCACTAAACCTGTTAGTATTTTTCGTAGTTTCTTCATTTTATTTTAATACAGTTTCCATGTTTAAAAGCAAAAATAAAGCCTTTAAACTTTCATAAGACAACTGGAATCCAGAAATGACACTGCAAGCAAGGAATTTCAAAGGTTTGTTTCCCTTAGAGCCTCATATGAGAATGACCTTCCTTCCAAGAAGCCTGTGGTTTTTCTTTGGTTCAAAGGGCTGCTGCAGGCAGATATGAAGTGGTTTTACTGCATGTATAGGTTCATTCATTTTATCCTTTGTTAAATTAAGGCTGAGAGAGCATTTTTAAACTCTGAAATGCAAGTCTGGGCATATTCACGTGAAACAGAGCTTAATGAACTGTTAAAATTCTCTGCAAGACTTGTTTATGATCATCTTCATGACTTCAACATTCAAGAAATAGCTACAATTATTTTACAATATATGAATTTGGGGGAGGGTTACTCCCCTGATTTCATTCTGAGGTGGGTAAGGGGAATGAATGCTGCACAATCGTGTGGTAGAAGTCATATCTGACGGCAGTCATCACACAGATTTACATAAATTGTATTTTCTTCTGTGAGTTGTAATAATAGCAGGAGCAACAACAGCCACAGCAGCAGCCACAATAATAATTGAAACAGAACTTCAGCTCAAGAGTTTCACACATCACTGCAATGTACTTATTATTTTAGGGAATATAGAATCATAGAATGGTTTGGGTTGGAAAGGACCTTAAGATCATCTAGTTCCAACCCCCCTGCCATGGGCAGGGACTCCTCGCACTAAACCATGTTGCCCAAGGCTCTGTCCAACCTGGCCTTGAACACTGCCAGGGATGGAGCATTCACAACTTCCTTGGGCAACCTATTCCAGTGCTTCACCATCCCCACTGTAAAGAACTTCTTCCTTATATCTAACCTAAACTTCCCCTGTTTTAAGTTTAAAGCCATTAACCCTTGTTCTACCAATAGAGTCCCTAACGAAGAGTCCCTCCCCAGCATCCTTGTAGGCCCCCTTCAGATACGGGAAGGCTGCTCTGAGGTCTCCACGCAGCTTCTCTTCTCCAGGCTGAACAGCCCCAACTTTCTCAGCCTGTCTTCATACGGGAGGTGCTCCAGCCCTCTTATCATCCTCGTGGCCTCCTCTGGACTTGCTCCAGCAGCTCCATGTCCTTTTTATGTTGAGGACACCAGAACTGGACACAATACTCCAGGTGAGGTGTCACAAGAGCAGAGTAGAGGGGCAGGATCACCTCCTTTGACCTGCTGGTCACACTTCTTTTGATACAGCCCAGGATACGGTTGGCTTTCTGGGCTGCAAGCGCACACTGAAGCTGGCTCATGTTAAGTTTCTAACCATCAATCTCTTGCATCTAGATAAAAAACCAAAATGAAAAGTAATTTTGAGCCCAAAAACTTTAGGTTTTGTTTAGAAAATATCTAATGAAATGTAAGTTTTAAAAAGTCTGTTTCAATTAGAAAAATTTTCCAAATCCTCTCTTTTCTTCCCATGTTTGACATCAAAAGGAAGTCTCAAAAATTTCCTCATCAGGTCCTGTTCTAATAGTACTCAAAGCTGTTTGTGGTGGGTTGACCCTGTCTGGACTCCAGGTGCCCAACAAAGATGCTCTATCACTGCCCTCCTCAGCTGGACAGAGGAGAGAAAATACAATGAAAGGCTCGTGGGTTGAGATAAGAACAGAGAGAGATCTCTCAGCGGTTACTGACATGGGCAAAACAGGTTCAACTCAGGGAAATTAATTTAATTTATCGCCAATCAAATCAGAGTAGGGTAATAAGAAATAAAACCTAAATCTTAAAACACTTTCCCCCCACTCCTCCCTTCCTCCCGCGCTCAGCTTCACTCCCCATTTCTCTACTGCCTCCTCCAGAGCAGCACAGAAGGACAGGGAACGGGAGTTAAGGTCAATTCATCACACATTATCTTCTCTGCTCCTTCCTCCTCCTGAGGATATACAGAAGATATATGAGGCACAATACTAGGCTTGCTGCCATTGCCATCAGCCTTCTCCCCACCTAGATTCCCATCTACCTCTCCCTTCTTTACCCACATCAGGTCCAGCTATTTCCATCCTCCACCTAGCACTCCTTCACAGAAACCTGCTTACTTATGTTTGACAACAGGCCTTGTGCTTCTTGCTTTCTCACACAGACATTCCTAAAAATGTATCTTCTCTGAGCTACACCTTTTCGCCATACATTGACTTTACATCAGTATTTTCCTTCTGCAGCTATTTGCAAATGTGGCTTTTCTAATACAGCAGTATTCCACACTACCAGCACAGTTATTCTGCAACTTTCTGCCCTTTAGCTGACAATGTTATGTACGTCTATCTCCACTTCTACTTAAAATATCTTCAGTGCTTCCTACAGCTCCTGTATTCTATTCACATGATTCCAAAAATCCTCTCGCTTGAAGATTTTCTTCAAGGCTACAGCACAATGACACCTACTCTCTCTGTTGTACAGCATCTAGCCACCTGCTCCGATTGCCATGAGCTGTTCCAGTTCATATTCTAATCCCACTATTTTCAATGGCAGCCTTTCTAACAGGCCCCAAAACAGAGGTTTTTGGTTGCATACTGATAACTTGTATACTAATGTGCAGATGAAATGTATAAACGTCACATGTGCTGAACTTGGCTGCCCAGACAACACCTGAAATTAATCTCAACCATATATATGTCAGTTCCTATGAAGTATATTGCATATGCAGTTATAACTCTGCAAGGTTGTCTATAAAGGGAAATAGATTATCCTTCTCCAGAAAGAGCTGAAGTTACTATAGGCCACTCAATATTTTACTGGACCTTAAAGTGCTTCAATGAAGAAGCAAAAGCATAATTTATATACATTACCAGAAAAAAATAGCATGGAGAATCTCATTCCTGATCTGTTTCAAACACAGCTAATAAAAAAGGCTGTAAAGATCTTGTATTATCTCAGGCTTGTCAGTACTCATATATCAAGACTAAAAGAAGAGGAACAAATGGCTGTCTTCAGACATCAGTGCTATGTTGAAAAATTGTAAACTAGGGATAAGATAAAAGGTGAGGGTTCTTCACATGGCTGGCAACTTAAAAATTCATTGACTGCAAAATCTTCTGTCAATAATAATAAAGTGTACCACACACGTTTCTATATGCTTATTTACTAGCTATATGGCAGGCATACTGCACAACAAGGTGTAAATCAGACAAAGAGATTTCATAGAAGTCATTTATGCACAAGAAACCAAGTGAACTAGGCTGAGTTCTTGTAGATGCTATGGATATAGGAAAGTTACAAAACTCCTAGATAAACAGACAAGAATAAAATATAGCACTACATATCAAACATATTTCTGTTTTAAGTGCTACTCAAAAAATGTACCATTCACAGCTCATTCTGTGTTCCTGCAAATCGTATACGTTATGTACAGATCTTTTATAAAGGCATCTCAGTACAACTTTTTAAAGTATATTCTTAAGTAATTAATTATCCAACATTAATTCCACAGTCATTGGGGAAAAAAGAAAAACCATCACTACCTGGCACTGGTTTTGGTACATTTTTAGATCCTCCCGGAGTTTCAGATTTTCCTCTTCTAGTTTATTCTTGTTTACTGTCATTTCATTCACAGTTGCCTTTAGTTTTTCAATCATCAACTCATTCGTTTCACTTTCGGGCTGGTCACGGGTAATTACCTCTTCTTGGTCATGTTTCTTATTGCTTATTTGGAATTGATAATTCTGGGTCTGCTTCTATAGAACAAGAAAATCTTTTAAATGAAATTCAATAATTCTATGTAGATTGCTAGGACCAAACCACTCCTATTTAAAACATAAAGCTATTTCCATCTTCAGCAGG